TGCCATGTCAAAAACGTTTATATCCGCCAAGCCAACCTGCTGACATGTTAGCAAACGATCGTGCCTTTTCCTAGTCCAGTCATTGCCACGTACCATCGCGTCACCGCTGTCCACTCCGGAGTTGAATTCCGGGAACTCGACTCCGAGTCTAATCAGCTCCTGTGTGACTCGGCAATTCAACTTTGGAGAAAAATACTCGGAGAGGCTTTCTTTCTCTTCGATATCAAGGACCCCTCCACCATTTCTCAGCAACAGGTCAATAATGTCGATATCAGGGCCACCAAGCTCGGCATCTCGGTAGACAGCGTAAGACAAGGGACTTTTTCCCCATTGGTCACGGGCATTGACATCGTGGTCAATGGATATGAGGAAGCGAATCGTTTCTGCATCTCCACTTCCGCTACAAGCGTAACGTAGAGGGTTGAATTGGGTCCAGGGGTGGAGTTTTTTCAATCCAGTTGATTTCCTGTCGATGGTTGCAAGATACTTTAATATTGAATTGGAACCCCGATAGGCTGCATATTCAAGCGCAGTCAAGTTATGGAGGGCCTGCTGTCCCTCGTATGGCAGTGAAACGTATACCCAGTCTTCCAGGTCAGTCTTACTGTAGAAGTGATTGATCAGTAACCAGATCATATCTATATCGTTGTTGTGAATCGCCTGAAATATAGGCCGTCGTGAGAAAGAGGCTTTCCTGCCATCCTGTCGAAGATCCTCAGCCTGAATCAACTGGAGGATCTCTCTATTGCTCTGGAGTCGGGACTGGAAGTCGAACATTTGTCCTCGGTCGATGGCGTCGGCTGGTAGGCTGAGGATGCCTTGAAGGGGTTGTTGAGAATATTCCCTCCGTGGGGCCCTTGGATAAGAGGTGACGATTCCTTCTGCTTCCTTCTACACATTTTGTTGAATTTTGGCGGCTAATTCTGCGGCCAAGCATCGTGTTCTCGTTCTGGACGTCGACTCTGGATATCATGCAACAGCTGCTTGGGGCTGCGAACGTGAGCTCGGTTCGTATCGATGGGACCGTCTCGAACGATGAGAGGGTGAGGTACATGGAAGCTTTTCGTTCTGGCCAGGATATCCCGGTTCTTCTGATGACTATGGGTACCGGTGCTGTTGGGTAAGAGCGAGATTTGTCCTCCAGCCGCCGAAAGGATATAGCTAACTGGAAATCACAAAAGGCTGAACCTTACCGCGGCAAACTATATCCATGTCGTGGAACCGCAGTGGAGCCCTTCTGTCGAGGAGCAGGCCGTTGCCAGGGCGGTTAGAATGGGGCAGACCCGGACCGTCACCGTCATCCGCTATGTCGTCGAAAGATCAGTCGAGCAGGTAAAAAAAGACCCTGCCTCCCGGCAAAATAAGTATATGACTCTGAAGCTGATGGGTTCGGGTGAGCGGAATATCGTGCACTTGCAGAAGAAGAAGAAGCACCTAGCGAAGTTTGCGCTAAATGGAACGGACGAGACGGCCGCGGGGAAGCTTGACGTGAGTAGCGTTTGCCTCTCGTAGATGGAGAAGGGGAGCTAATCTTGCGGACAGGACTTGAAATTCATAATCGACTTCGATTCTATCGTATAAATAAATTAACGGCGACTGGCGAGAGGTCAGTGCAGACTTGTGACATGAACATGGGCGCAGTTACTGGTAAAACCTCCTATGGGTACGGCAGGTTGCAGTTCGCTCCATGTGCTGTGAGAGTACCACTTCATACGGAATGAGACAGAGTAAGACCCGGACAGTTCAACTAATACAATTCGATACTGTGATAGCTCGGGGTTCAAATCGATACAGCCTATGTCCAATAAATGCTTCTAGTATCGTAAGGCCTCGGGGCACTGCTACCGTACACCATAAGCGTCAGAGGCACAGGCCTTAAACCTTAAGTTGTACAAGAATCTCACTATGGACATTAAGTTTGGGCACTACAGTTCTTGCGTGTTTATTTATCGTGCTATCCAACTTGTAAGTTTCATCATACTTTCGACCATCTTGGGGCCCATGATGACGGCATGTCTCAGCGTATGAAGTGGAACATAGAAATTTTGGAGTACAGAGCGACCAGGTTAGTTGATGGCCGAACCAGGGCAGACTATCTAGGTGGCTAATGAATAACAGCGTAGGGGTGGGCGAGTCGAACTCGACATCATGTCCTCTCGGTATGACCATTTATGATGTGGCCGTGACTTTACATGCAGAGGAAGTTAAATCGCAGAGGGGTCAAGAAAGGTATATAAGGGCGGATGATTCCTAGCATCCTGTCGATGTCTTTGAAACCATCACAACCCTTCAAAGTACACTACATGCTCTCTCTCCCCTTGTTTCATCTCCAACGCAGAGAGGTTTGCCCAGCATGGCAATGTCATACCCAGAGGGAGAGGTCTTTTTCGACCGCAACGTTCTCAAGGCTCGCTCGGCTGACAGCTATGACGCTAACGACCCGAAGAAATTCTATTCGCATTTCATGATTGAGTACCTATGGAATGTAGAGGGCTATCATGGCAGCCGGAAGGCCAACGAGGCAGGGGGAGGGTGGAAGCATCCTCGTTCAGGATACAAGATCGTCCAGGGCAGCTGGTGGAACACGAGCTACGGTAACTTTACACATCTCCCAGTAAGCTACGGACCGAAGCCCTCGGAGATCAAACGACGGGTTCAGCACAACCTTTGTACCAGCGGCAACCGCTTTCGAGACTATGAGAAGGGAGGGTCCGCAGAGGTACGTAGTTTGCATTCAATCATTCATACGAGTCGGGAATATACCACACGCTTTCATACTAATGTGGAAGCAATATAGCCTTGGTTCATGGTTTTACCACTGCCTACTAAAGAGGAAGAATGGGTTTGGATCGATGTCACGTCCCCCCCCC